AGAAGAATATACATATATATAAATCAAAAAAGGGAAGAAGTTCCCAATTAATAGTTCTTTTGTAATAATAGATAGGAAGTTAGAAAATATGCAGTTGAAAAAACATTATCTGTAGTCTCTGAGTTATTTCACTTGGCGTGCAGATTGGACCGGACAGCCTCCATTGTGGACTTAATGGTTGAATGTCAAGAGTTGGAACGATTTTCTGTCATTAATCGTTTTGCAAAGTTTCACATCCGTCAAGCAGAAATCTCTGGAAATCCATCTTCAAATGGATTAGTTACATTGGTACCAAAATTATGTCCCCAAAGATATGTCACTGCACACCCAATCCCTAGCCATCTTCCTGAGGGTGTACAATGCCTTTCACTGTAGTAATTAGTTAATTGGTCCCTCATAGTTAATTCCCTAGTCGCCATCTACACATAAACCATATCCTGCCCGTTCTTTTTGTCTATCATCTCTGCACTGACATGATGTGGCACTGTAGAAGAAAAAGAGGCTACAAGAATAGATTCATATCTTGGAAGCTTTGATAATTGAGGCCATTCGTTTCTTTTTTGAATCAGGGCCGAACCGTTGTTTATTTTGATGAAGTACATAGTGTTATCATGTATCATGTAAAGTTTCATGAATTTCCCAGGTGAACACAAGTTATTCTGAAGCGAACTATTCAGAGAGGATGATGTTGGGTATGGATATCGCATCTCGTTTTGATACATAAATTAGAGAAACTAGCCTGCCAATTTATTGGTAAGTGTATCATTAGTCATGCTTTGCAGTTTTTTCTCCTGCCGTGTCACCTTTTATAGGTTTATTTTCCAAAAAGTTGGGGAAATCAGCACAGAAGTTGGCATCTAGAAGACCAGCAAGCGAATAAAATAGTCAAAAAAGGTAAAAATTTTGGTTTTAAAAATCCAAGGTTCCCAACAGAAGCTTCCTGAAATTCCCCCCACAAAACTCACTGGTTTAAAACTCAGTGTCTCTGTACTTTTCTTTTTAGTTTCTTTGTTTTTCACTGGTCACGTGTAGGCCTTCACCAGCACTTGTTCATTTATTGGGAACACACAGACATCGACTGCGTCCCAAGTGTCAAAAGAGGACACATTTATGAAGGAATAAAGGACAAGAAGATATTCTTGTTACATTCCTTAATATATTATTATTTGTAAAGTTTCCTTTTTGTCGGAAAGATTCTGTGATTGGTTGGGTTGACTGAAAGCAGCCAGTTATGTCAATGTCAGTATCTGATTCAACTCATGATTGGGAAGATGATGATGTGAGAGAAAGCTGATAGATATCATATCCTTTTCAACACAGCCAGAAGGAATAATGGGATGATGAGACAAATCCAGAACCAAAGTCTAATCCTAATTTTTTTTTGGCTTAATATATTATAATAAATGTTCCAGTTTCTGTGGGGGCTGTTTTGTTTGTACGAGGATGCTTACTCACCTGTGCCGACAAAGTTAGTGGGTGGGTTTTTTCTTCAAATTCCTTTATTGTTTTATGTTCAAAATTCCTTGGACTAATTTTTCCTCATTCTTTGGAGTTGGACCTGTTCTTCTTCTTCTTCAGGATGCTACTGTATGCAAAGTTTCAAAACTGTTTCTCTGCCACCATCTCATCTGACTTTGATGCCTGATGCTCGTCTCGTCTTTGGTACCAAAGATTTGATTTTCTAGAAAAGTTCGTTGTTGAGTGAGTGAAGAAGAAAGTTTGTCCACTCTTCTAAATTTTTAGAATTGAAAGATTATATATATAAAAAGTTAAAACGTCCCCTTGAATTATTAATAGTTACTGTACCACTTCCTTTATTGTCTGAGTTAAAGTCACTGCTAATATTATTAGCACAAGCAACTGAATCATGCTTCAGTACTTAATATTTCAAGTGCTTTGATTTGCTTATTGTTCTATCTCGAGATCATCGGTTAGAACTCTGTCAATACTTCATGGACTATGAATTAATGTGGTCGAGCTTTCGTTTAGTATTATATGGTCACCTAGTCTCTTGTGCCAAATATAACGAGTTCGAAAGCGAGCTAGGGGTCAAACCCTCTTGCTTAATCTCTTCGGTATGTATGTCAATTTTTTTCTGAGGTAAGCGGACCGAAATGGTTAACTTTTAAAAGGCTAGAGTTGAATGTTTGGGGACTAAAATGAGAATTAGCTTAATAATAGTGGGTACATGATTCTATTTGGACCAGAACATTATGTTCGGCTCAAATTTTGGGCTCTAAAGCTCTATTGGGCTTCATAAGCCCACATTGGATGACACTACCAACCTTTGGGCCTTGACCACACCAAAAATGGCTTTAAAGCAGCCGTTTAAAAATTTTCCTTATTATTATTATTATTATTTAAAGTTCTTTTTTTTTCCGTAGTTTCTAAACAAGAAAGATCCTTTCCACTCTCTCTTGCTCTCTCCTCTCCTCTATTCTTCAATCTATTCATTCACATATTCAATTATTCTTCATTTTTAGTATTTATGTATATTAATTAAAATGAGATTATTTCAAAACTTTTCTCTATATCCATGCTTCATTTTTTTTTAAAGATATGGAATTAATATTTGATATCTATTTAAATATTGTAATTATAAATATCAATTTAACTCATAAAAAATCAATTATAACATAATTAGGTCACAATAAAATTTCTATTAATTAATTTAAACAATTTTCATTAAATTTTATATATTTGTCCTTATTTTATCCGATGTTGACATATTCATATAAATATTACTATTATTTTTATGTAGGATTATTAAAGATGATGAGTTATATCCTAACTAAATCACAGTTATAGTTTCAATAACTAATTTAAATTTTTTTTTTTATAAATTTCCATAATTTCCAAAAGTTTTTTTTTGAAATTTTCATTGATATCAATATTTTTGTAAAATTGGAACTTCGATGTTTCGAACTTTTGGGATGATTATTATATGTTTTATTTGAGAAGAATAATTGTCATATTATAAAATATAAATTTACAAACATACGAATATGTGTACGTAGATGATTTGAAGGTAGTGAATGCTACACGATCACCGAGTTTTTTTTTTCTTTCTCTTTTCTCCCTTTTAGGTTAGTAGTTTGTTCTTGGTCATTAAATATCACTTTCCATATTCAACTAGAAGTAAGAGTATGACATAAATACAATACTCCTATTTGGTTTSATTTTCATCCTTCCAATTTTAGAAGTTCCAATTTATCTGGATTGATTAGATGATAGAAATATTTCGACATGCCATGTATTATTTGGACATTAGCTCATCATTTTTCTACCACGTCAAAATAAAATATGTCATTCATCTGAAAAACGGTTCACTAAGAAAAGTGTTAACATTTGATGCAAAATGAAATATTTTTCCAGAGACTAAATTATTATGTTAGTTTCTAAATTTTTTGTTTTTATTCTACTTTAATTCTAAAATTTTTTAATATATATTTTTTGTTAGTATAACAACAAGTGGGTATTAGGGTTCAAACTTCAAATTTATAACTTTTTTCTTAATTAAGCACACATGTCTTGACTTTTTAGTTATTAATTATTGTTGATCTGTTGAAGTAAATATATATATATATATATATATATATATTTTTTTTTTTGAGTAGAGGCATGTATCTTATTTTATTATAACAGATTAATTAAATATATAGATAAAACAATAAGTGTGAATGAATAAAAGATAATTTAAATAATTATAATGAGTTTTACGAGTTTTGAGAAATCACGTTTTTTTGGTGTGGCATCAATTAATTTGGCACGTTTATAACGTGGGCCGGAGCAACCTACACTAGTAACACAATTGTTTTAAAATAAAACATTAAAAAAGCGTAACACATTTGTTTCCATCTTATCATTATTATTATTTCTTGATTGGGTAAGAATTTTGCTGTTAATCTTCTCCCAATATCTTGATGGGAGATATATGTCAATTATCGTTGAGTTATGCTCGCTTTTGACAGAAAAATAACGGATTTATTGTTACAATTCTCTGAATAATCTGCAGCTACTACATAGTTTTCTACGTAAAATTTAGAGTAGGTTTAGTAAAATTTTAAAATTTGACTTTCTGCATTTCTTTTCTAAACTAAACTTATTTATTCATCTTAACTTTGTTATAATCTCTTAGTTGAAAAAGTCAAAAATCATTATTTATGAGTTTTTTCATACAGAAATTTTATGAAATTAGTTTACTGGAAACGTGTATGAATATTTGTTGTTGAACGGTTAGCATTAAACATAAAATCTTACGGATTCTTATAAATTAAATTTCAAGCTTTGGTTGGATTCTCAGTATAGAAAAATTATTTACTCAGTTTTAGTATTTCGTTAACATGTATAAAATATTTTTAAATCTTTGGGACGATTTAATTAAATTTATTCAACCTATCCATTTGAATTGATGGATGATTTATACTCGTACACTGTATCTCCTCCCAAAATAAATATTCATATTTAAAACTATGTTTAAGTAAAAGAATTAGTAGACGCTCTAAATTAAGACTCTGAAATGGTATTTATGGTACTCATATTAATTTTAGAAATAATTTTTATACTTGTTTTTTTTTTCAGTACATTATACGGGTACGTGGACTCGAATTCATAATATTTTGGTTGAAAATTAGTGTCTTAACCAATTGAGTTATGTTAAATCGTCAAATAATTTTTCTACTTATATATTTGCAATTATTATAGTTTTTTTTACTTAAATAAACAAATAAAATTAGTATCAATTAGAAATTATTGGTACATACATTTTTTTTTTTTAATTTTTAATTGAATAGAGGAATCCGTTCCAACAAAATTTTGTATTGTCTGCGAGAGAGAAAAAAAATCATCTCATAACTAGTTATAAATCTAAAAAAAAAAATGGTTAAACTTAATTAATGTGTGTCGATATTGATTATTTTATTATATATATTTTTTAGTATAATATGGTATATGTCAATTATCGTTGAACTATGCCCGTTTTGACGTGTCAATATTAGTAAATGATTAAGTATCTCTACCTCTTAAAATGATGGTAGAGGTATGTTAAATTCTCAACACTATATCTGTGGTGCATTATTTAAAATATATTTATTCAAAATTTATCAAAAGTTTAAATACTAAAACCATCCTAATTACATTTAAGAAAAAAAATGTATTTTTACTTTTGAATTTAGGTATAGGATAATCAATTTTAACCTTTTACTTTCAATTTCTAATACACTTCATTAGCTAAGTTTCTTAAGATTTGTAATTAATTATGAGTGTCCTTATAATTAGGTAAAACTACTTTCGATGTATTTTTTTAGTATAACATGTGGGGGTGAACTCAGAACCTCCTAACGAAAATATATGTCAATTACTGTCGAGTTATGTTCGCTTTGACACTACTTTCCATGTATTGATTTTAGTAATTGTGTTTGATTTAATTAACTGAATTGGTATATTATATTACTAAGTTTGAATATATATATTATTATCTCCTTGATTTTGTAGCTAAATTTAACATCTTTCGTTATTATATTTCAACATTTCTTTAACACGATTTTTAGTATTTTGTTAGTGAAAATTAGTATGATTTATTGGTTGATCCATTAACAATTTGCAAATTCACAATAGGTATGAATTACAAAACTCAATCAGTTAAAAGATTTTGAATTTAAAAGTTTAACCACTTAATTGTAAGGTTAGAAATTGAACCATTCAAATTAATATAAATATAAATAAAATTTAAATTACAAATTCGATCAGAATACCTATCTAATAGATTTCTAAACTTTAGAAAGCATTTGATAAGTCCATTAATTTAATATAAAAAAAATTCGTCCCAATTTTGAATATAATATTCCTTTTAAAAAAGTCTTCAATATTATATAAATAAATCTTTAAACTTTAAAATATATTTAGGTAGGCTAATAAATTCGTAAACTTAAAATAATATATTTTTTAAATTATTTAATGTATAGTTCGAATGGAAGATCTTCCAATTTAATGTCATGTCATGTTAAAGATGAATAAATCAGTACTGAACTCGAGACCTTAAATTTTAAATTATGGGTTAGTATCCAACGTACACCAGTATCGGCTATATATAAATCCTTGCCTCTTTGCATAATTGCTAGAAGAAAGAAAAAGAAAGAAAAAACTGGCCATTTAAATTCTCGATCGCCATTACCATCTGAATTGGATCCCACACAGTGTCGAAGCTTGAAAACAGCGCAACAATGGCGAGCCATAACGTGGTAGTGATCCCATACCCATCCCAAGGGCACGTGAATCCCCTGATGCACCTCTGCCAATCCTTCGCAAAACAGGGCATCAAATCCACCGTCGTCAACACCGAATTCGTGCACGCCAAAATGGTGAAGGCAATGGGCGATAAAATTGAATCGGTTCTCGGCTCCCGCATCGAGCTCGTCGCCGTTCCGGACGGATTCGGCCCCGACGAGAGCAGAGACAATATCGAGAGGCTGTTCGTCGACATCATGAACAATCTCCAATTCGAATTCGAGAAGCTGCTCCCCAAGATGAACTCGGAGATCGCCGGTGGAATCGCCTGCGTGATCGTGGACTTGTCGATGGCTTGGATTCTGGAGATCACTGAGAAATTGGGGATCAGAGGAGCCATTTTCTCGCCTTTCACGGCGGCGCACTCTGTTTTGAATATTAGTATCAATAAGCTTATTGAAGACGGCATTATCGATGCCGAAGGTCAGTTTTTCTGTTCATCTCTTCGTCTTCTTCTTCATCACTCTCTTCAAACTGCTGCTTCTTGTGTGGCTCCATGCATCATCCTCAAATTTGAAAAAAAATTAAAAAAATGCAGAGGACAAACCAGAGATATATTTTCATGCAGAGCATGAATATTAATTAATAAAGTTGGATTTAATAAGCAAATCAACTCTCAATTTTGTGATCTGTTAGACTAATTTTAATAACGATTAAAGACTTATTCAACATAGCTTTAAAATCGAGTCGATTAAAATTGTAATTTAACTTATTGAAGATTTAAAAAGAAACAGGAAGAATCCACTGAATCAAAATAAAACGACTTTGATTGACTTTAACAATTTAGCCAATGATGGGTATGAGATTGAGAAAGTTATCTTATTAGAATTTAAAATAAAATGACTCAAAAAAATCTGGTCAAGTTCATCATCTATACGTCTAGTGGAGGATGATAACATTACGTTAGGGGCTTAAATTCGTATAAAGATACTTAAACTTATTTGATATCAGTTTGATTATTTACAATCTAAATTTACAAAATATAAAGTAGAAATGATTTTTAAATCAATAAGAGTTTATACCAATTGAATTTGGTTTGATTTGGGTCTTTTTCAGGAGTTCCGATGCAAGGGGCCAGAATTCAACTGAAGCCGGGAATGCCATACATGCGCACGCGAGACCTGCCATGGATGTGCGTTCCCATAAAAAAGTCACAGAGGATTTTATTCGAACACCTGGTGCGCATCCAGCGCGGCTACGAGCTATCCAAATGGTGCCTCTTCAACAGCGCCTACGAACTGGAGCCGGAATCAGTGTCATTCCATCCCAAGATCCTGCCGGTGGGGCCACTAATGGCGAGCGAGGCCGGCCAATTCTGGAAAGAAGACGCCTCCTGCCTCGAATGGCTGGACCAGCAACCCCCATCCTCGGTAATCTACTTGGCCTTCGGGAGCTTCACCGATTTCAGCGGCGCCCAGTTCGAGGAGCTCGCCATGGGGTTGGAGCTCACCGGGCGGCCGTTCCTCTGGGTGGTCCGGCCGGGAACAGAGCAGAAGCTGCCGGCGGGTTTCAGAGGCAGGAAGGCGAAAATCATAGGGTGGGCGCCGCAGCAGAAGGTGCTGAGGCACCCGTCGGTGGGTTGCTTCTTGAGCCACTGCGGGTGGAACTCGATTCTGGAGGGCGTGAGCAACGGGCTGCCGTTCCTGTGCTGGCCGTACGTCGGGGATCAGCACTTCAACATGAGCTACGTGGACGATATCTGGAAGGTGGGATTGGGGTTCGATCGGGACGAGAAGGGGACGGTGAGCCGGTGGGAGATTAAGAAGAAGGTGGAGCAGCTGCTGGGGGATCCCAGTTTCAGAGCAAGAAGCGCACAGCTTCAGCAACTGGTCAGGAACAGTGTGAAACCGGAGGGGCTTTCTTCCATCAATGTTGATAAATTCGTGAGATGGGTGAAGGAGGAAGGACAAAACGAAGCTGTAGTTTAGACGTTTCCATTCCACAATTTTTATTCAAAGATTGCTAGCTCGACTGTGTGTGGGCGTTTGTGGAGATGGATGGATTTTATACCTCCTCTCCTTTCTCTTATTCTCGAACAAACAAATAATTATTCATCTGTGAACTCTTAACTAAGACAACTCCTCTTCCTTCGAACATGCGATACAGAGCAACAATGGCGAGCCCTCACGTGGTGGTGATCCCATATCCAGGCCAAGGGCCGCTAAAATCGTCTGTGTCACCATCGTCAACACCCAATTTTTTTTCTAAGGGGTTTATTTTTTGTGAAAATTATTCATCTGTTGGGAACTTTGATTTTCTTCTCTTCCTCCACTCTTTTGTGTTAATAAATAAAACTCCTCTTCCCATTCCTTCTTCTACTCTGACTTTCTTCCCTTAACATTTTAATTATATTCTAATAAGTTGTTGGGGAAATTATAAGTTTAGTAAAAAAAAAAAAAAATTGCATCTAATAAATAATATTGATAAGTATTAATTAAAATAGAGTAGTATTTACATTCTTGCTAGCCCTCATCAAATATTCATTTCTATATTTTTCTATCATAGACATTTGTCATCGTTTAGTTAATAATTTAATTTCATTTTTCCAAACGACAATCTYGAATTTTACCCAACATACACACAACAATTACCACGATCATTTACGCACGTCTTTTCATTTGACTTTTATCCTAAGAAACCTTTTTGTTCCATTCGGTTTGAGCTTAAGAAAGTATAGAAAAACAAAGAAATAAATTTAAATTATAAAAATGATGTGATTCGATACAGCAAAATGAAAAGGAAAATAGACATTTTATTTTATTTTTTTGAAAGCAAAAGAATTTTATAAACTAAAAAAGATCTTCCCTTGCCAACTGAATCAGCCAATTCGGGAGATAAAACGACCAACATTCAGATTCCTCAAGCTCTCCTTGCCAAAGAATGAGCACACTTATTTGCTGCTCTATTCACTTCTCAAAAGATAGAACCCACACCTTAATAATTAATATAGCCTTTTACATCTTAATAATTATAATGAAAAATTAAAATAGAATAAGCTTAACATAGTAATTAAATTAACCCTACCATTTTAATCTTAATTTTTTTTAATAGAGATTTGAAATCATGTAAACATTAGCCAACTGAAATAATCAAATTAAAAAATTAAAAATAGTCGTAGGTCATTGGGACACATAACCACCCACATGTTCATAAATTGGCCTAAACTGATCTCAACAGTTTATAACTTTAAAAAAAAAAAAAATTGAAAGTGAAATTTTTTGAAAGTTTTTAGTTCTRAAAAGAAAGTAAAATATATAACATTAAATCTAGAAATGATGTCAAATAGTAAAAAGAAAATATGATTAAATTAAATATTTTTATCAGTTTGTTACTGAAAAAAATAAATGCTTAAATTAGTAATTTAGTATAACAAAAATCTGAAGATCCAACTAATTCAGTCAACCATTAAAAAGAGTATTTGAATTGTAGAAAAAAAATCCATTCAAACTCTCCATAACAATTCCCAAGATCCTCTAACAAATAAATTGGTTAGTATAAAACTCTCACAACCCAAATCATATTCTTCAACTTCATCAAGCATTTCTACTTCTTTCCATAATAATGGTGTTGAAACTCTCCCTCTTCGCTCTCCTCCTTGCATCTTTTGCACAAAATGCTATCTCCATACGCCATCTCCACACTCACAAATCATCCCCATCACCGTTTCATTTCCCTCAACATCTTCAAGGCCCTCGAAAGGGTGATACCGTAGAAGGAATCCACAATGTGAAGCTTTACCTCCAACATTTCGGCTACTTGACCAATGTTCCAACCCATACCCACAACACATTCGACGACCTCTTGGAATCGGCCCTTAAAACATACCAAAAAAACTACCACCTCAATGTCACTGGCGTTCTGGATGGTGAAACGCTGACACTATTGTCCACACCTCGATGTGGGCATCCCGACATCATGAACCCAGATTATGTCATCGCCCCTGGAAGGCCCAAATGGCCACCCACCAAATACCACCTCACCTACGCATTCATCCACAACTTCCCTCAAAACTTCGAGGCCCCAGTGCGATGCTCGTTAAACACGTGGTCGGGCGTGAGCAAGTTCACGTTCTCAGAGACAACTGAAGCGATCGCCGACGTGAAAATCAGTTTCGAGAGAGGGGACCATGGCGATGGGGCACCTTTCTACGGGCCAAACATTTTGGGGCACGCTTTCTTCCCGCCGGACGGTAGGCTTCACTTAAACRTGGACCAGAATTGGGTGTGGGGGGCTGTGGCTAATTCAGCGGACGTGCAAACAGTGTCGTTGCATGAACTTGGACATATTCTTGGTCTTGCCCATAGCCAGGATGAGGGGGCTGTAATGTACGCCTACACTTATCCAGGAACCACCAAAGGCTTGAGTCAGGATGATATTGCCGGAATAACTGATTTATACAGCACTTAGTTCCTCATAAATGAGATGTTTTGCATTATATATATATATATATAATAATGCAAAGAGGTAGCAGTTTTGCAGGGGTTCTAACCTTCCAACTAATATTTAGTTGTTCAGTTGTTAGTTGAGAGTAGTTAAAGTTTCTTATTTTGTTAGTTTTTCAAATGAGTTTGAATGAATAAAGATTCAATTTCTTTTCTTTGTTATATCTCATTTCTTTTACCTACCTAAGATCATTAGCTTAAAATACGAGGCTCTATTTTTTTAAAGTTTTACTTAAAATCCAAGATTTATAAGATAATAAATTGTCACGATCTGTATCCAAAATTTAGTATTATAATATGTTTGTTTCTTTTTTTTTTTTTTTACACCAAGAAAAATCTGAACTTCTTACCTATCAATGCAGGGCAAAAGGGATTTATTTTGTGCCCCCCATAGAACGCACGTGTAAAACGTGCAGCACTACTATGTGAGAATCATGCTTCCATTTTTTTTGGTTGAATTTTTCCTCGAAAAATGAAACTATTACATCTTACAAATGTTAATGTATATTAAGATTTTCAGACATTTATTTAAAAAATAAAGACACAAAAACAAATGGGTACAACTTACAAGTACAAGTACAATGGTACAGTTTCTACTTTTTGAAAACTGAGTTTGGAATAGAAAACTTTCTATTTTGTGATATGTTACTAAGTTGGGTTGGATTGATGAAATTCAATTGATCATTTATCTAATTTGAATAACTTTTATCAAATAATTGAGTTATTTGAGTCACACGTGCAATAATAAATTATTTATACTACTTTAATATTTATTTACATACTTACAAAACTTATAAATTATTTTAAAAAGTTATTAGAAAATAAATAATATATAATATTTGATCACAAAAACCAAACTCGGATCAAAGAGGCTCACAAACACTCACAACTTCCACACGAATCGGGTAGGCTAAGGCTCACAAACACTCACAACTTCCACACGAATCGGGTAGGCTAAGGAAGGTAGTTGAACTATATTGTTGATTCTTTAGACTTATTCATTTTCGTTGTAAGCTATTATGATGACATAACACTTTTCGACCTCGACGCTTGCTAAATTGCCTCCAATACATAAAGAATTAAGGAATGGAATAAAATTAAAATAAATATATCTATATATAATTTTATGATTAGTAAAATAAATTGTTTTAAAATTAATAACAAGTCTGCAATTCAACCAAAATTTACTTTAGGAAAACCCTTTTTAACCCACCAAATATTTTACTTTAAGAAAACCCTTTTTAACCCACCAAACAACAATATTAGTTAGATTGGATTGATGGAGTTTTTGGAATTACCAAATATTTTTCGAACACTCTTAATAAAGCAAAGCAAGTATAGTTCAACTAATAAGTGACTATACCTTCGAGATTGTGAGTTCAAATCTCCAAGTATCATGTTGTACTATTTATCATAAAAACAAAATCAAATAATACTATGGGCCGTTTTCTGAGCTTTTCCAACACGCAATTTTCTAATTATGTCCTTTTTCGTAAAAGTTGTAACCACTAGCCAGTAGGTATTTCACCAAATTTATATTCCGTTTCAAATTTCTGCAGAATTTCAACTCGAATCGGCATTGATCTTTGGCGCAGACAACCAGAAATCGGAAAACCTAACAATGGGAAACCCGCACATCGTATCGGTGCCCTTCCCCTCCCAAGGCCATGTGAACCCTGTGATGCACATCTCTCAAAAGCTTGCCAAAAATGGCGTCACCGTCACAGTCGTCAACGCCGATTTCATCCACACTAAAGTCGTGGCTTCCTTGGGCGATTTCAAGGACACAATCCTCAGCTCTCATCTCCAGTTGGTCTCCCTCCCGGACGGCTTCGGCCCCGACGAAAACAGGTACTCTGTTGACAAGCTTTTTTACCGATTGATGGCAGCGCTGCGCTCCCAGCTTCGGCAGCTGTTGAGTCAATTCGACAAACACAATGCCTGCGTGCTGGTCGATCTCAACATGGCTTGGGTCCTCGAACTCGCCCATGATTTGGGCATTAGGGGCGTCGTCTTTTCTTCCTTTTCCGCCGCTTATTGCGCCATCAATTTCAGCATCCCCAAATTCATCCAAGATGGGATCATAGACGCCCAAGGTCAGATAATTTAGAAATTGACTGTAGTGGTATAATGCTTAGGAAGAGCATCTTGACAGTGTTGTTTAAAGATTGTATTGTAGACTGATTCCAAGTGGGTTTACTCCTATGGTGGCATAGGCTATGTAAGATCGTATTAGACACAAACAAAAGATTAAATCGAGATAGCACTAGAAGAAGTATGAGAACTAATAAGAGTATTCCATACTCTATTAATTTAGTTTGTGTGTTTGACTGATAAATATAATTAAGAATGATGTTGGGAATATTGATTGTTGTTTGATGGTGATGGATTTGCAGGGGTCCCCATGAAGCAGCAGAAGGTTCAGCTGAGACCAGGGATGCCGCTAATGGACACTGTAGATCTGCCATGGAGGTGTCTTGGGTATGAGGAGGCAGATACGAAGAAGGTATTTGAGTATTTAGTGGAACAGGGGAGAGGGTTTGAATTGGCAGAGTGGTATCTTTTCAACACAGCTTACGATCTGGAGCCTGAGGCAGTGTCATTGAGTCCAAAGATTCTTTCAGTAGGGCCATTGGCAGCGAGCCAAGCGGGCCAGTTTTGGAAAGAAGATGACTCCTGCCTCGCTTGGCTGGATCAGCACCCACCAAAATCCGTTTTGTTCCTAGC